TGTCTGGGGGGTGGGCTTGTGGGCGTGATGGGAGGCGGGCCCGGGGGCGGGGCTTACGGCGGGTGGGGGCGGGGCCGGTTGGTCTCATAAATCCCGCCCCATCTTCGCCTTCTCCGCGCCCCTCCCCCACCCGCTGCCCTTCCCAGGCTTGGGGACGCAGGCACAGCTGCAGACCACGCGCGCAGAGCTTTTGGAGACGCAGAAGAAGCTGATCCAGCACGAGCACGCCCTGAAGGAACTGAGCACACGCGGTGAGTGCCGGACGTGACCAAGACCCTTGAGGCCTGGCTGCTGCCGTGACCCCTACCCTGTTCTGTGATCCTGATCCCTGACCCCGATCTTGCCCCCCATCCTGACCCTGACCGCTGGCCTCTGACCTTGACTACAATTCCTAACCCCAGACACACATGGAACCTACCCAGTTATAACAGTTCTTAACCCTGACGTCGTTCTTGAAGCTGGAACTGACTGTGAACTGACCTAAGATAGGGATGCTCCTAAGTCTGACCCCAGCAATAACCTCGACTCCCTTGACCCCGCAGTGACTCAGGGCTTGGCTGAAGCGGGCAGGGACCGCGAAAACGTCCGCAATGAGCTGTTTCGGGCACGGGAGGCCATCAGGTTCCAGAACAGTGAGCAAAAAAGGCGGGGAAGGACGCAAAGGGACCCGCCCATGGGCCTCCGGGTTCCGGGATCCGCTCCTCCCTCCCTTTGATTTTGCCCTGGTCCCCTCCCCCCGCCCCCCGCACTCTGTCGGTGTGCGCCACCCGCTAGCCATGCGCCACCCGCTAGCCGTGCACCTCTCTGATGCCACCCCGCAGGCTCCTGCGAGGAGTGCGCCGCGTCGTGGCTGCCCTTCGAGGGCTCCTGTTACCTTTTCTCCAGGAGTGCTTCCACCTGGGAGGAGGCCCAGCGCAACTGCGTGGGCTTCGGGGCGCACCTGGTGATCATTGGGGGCCTGGATGAACAGGTGCGCACGGGGAGGCGGAGTTCACCTGAGGGGTCAGGTCGGGGCGGACTTCCTCGGCTCAGATCTGCTCTTCTTCCAGGGCTTCCTGAGTCGGGATACACGTGGCGACGGTTACTGGCTGGGTCTGAAGGCTGTGCGCTCCGCTGGCCAGATTCAGGACCACCGGTGGGTGGATGGAGTCCCAGTCAGCTTCAGGTGAGTGAAGGGCTCCTGGAGAGACTTGGGAAGGAGGACAGGTTAGACCCTGGGAAGAGTGCTTTGGCCAGATCTCCATGACTACTTGGCTCGGGCTAGATTCTTAGGGGTGGACAGGCTAGGGCCCAGGAACTGGCTGAGGGTTATATTCTGGGCATTAAAAAGTTGTATTTCGGGCCGGCCTCGTGGCGCACTCAGGAGAGTGCGGTGCTGGGAGCGCAGCGACGCTCCCGCCACAGGTTCGGATCCTATATAGGACTGGCCGGTGCGCTCACTGGCTGAGCGCGGTGCGGGCGACACCACACCAAGGGTTGTGATCCCCTTAACGGTCACGAAAAAGACAAAAAACAAAGAAACAAAAAAGTTGTATTTCGGGTGCATGCTCAAGATCAACACTCGGGGTGTATAAGATAAACGCAAGCAATAAACAGGGGAGACCTGGGAAGGAAGCCTCAACATCTCACTCAACCACTGCAGTTACTGGAATTTGGGGGAGCCCAATGACTCTCGAGGGCAAGAGGACTGCGTCATGATGCTTGACACGGGGCTGTGGAACGATGCACCGTGTGAGGGAAAGATGAGCTGGATTTGTGAGAAGAGGCGCAGCTGCTGACCCAGCCCAGTGTCCCCGAGCCACGCCCACGGCCTCACTTAGCGTCTCAGGTGCGGCCCATCCTCGTGCCTTCAGGCGCCCGTTGCCGAAGATTTTGTCCCCTTCCACCGCTACTGACAACCCCTCGGCCCAGCTCACCCTGTCCAGTGCCTGCGCTCAGGGACCTCCTCTCCAGCCTCAGTGCACTCCCCATCCCCACACGCGGACTTACCCTAACTTCCACCACTCCAGAATATAATCGCATAGGTCCCAGGGATCTGAGGCCACCTCTCTCTTTGCCCTAGTCAGGGGATTGAGGGATGGAGCTGTAGGGTTTTCCTGTATTTCCCACAAGACTGGGAGCCTCAGGGAGCATCAATAAATGCTTGAAAAATGAATCTAGGCCCCTGGTTCTGGTGAGCTCTTCTTGACTTTATCCCAGAGATTCAGATATACTCCCTGTGAGTGACACCTGACCTCTGTGGTGATTTCTTGATCCTATGATGTCCCCAACCCAGTGGGTAACCTGCACTGGGCCAGGAGGTAGAGGCAGTTTCCCACTCAGTACTGTGACCTGCACAGCCCCTGGCATGGGGCCTGGCTCAGAGGGTGCTGGGGACACAGAAATGGGTCCTTACCCCGGGACTTCCTCATTCTGGTGTAGGTGGGCACAGTGACCAGTGATGTAATGGAGCGATTAATGGAGGAGTGACAGCTGATGTGTTTAAGGAGCCAGGTTTGTCCTTGGGGAGAGGGACTGTGCTGAGATACTGCAGTGGTGGCCCTGTTTTGTGAGAAGACTGTCACCCCATTGTGGAGATGACAGGCAGCCTGAAACAAGGCCCTGGGGCAGGTAGGAGAGGGACTGTCCACATCAGATGAGTAGGTCTCTTCTGCCCTGGGCACACAGGGCCTGGTGTCATTGGATGAGGTGTTCAGGAATTACATCCCAGAGAAGGTGGACTTCCCAGGAACAATGGAATTTCATTGGGTGGAACTGGGAAGAAAGGGATTTGCAGGCAGAAATCCCAGCAAAAGATAGGCCAGGAGGTTGGAAAGTGTGGAGGATGGCTGAACTCACATGGGGACATGGGTGGCACAGAAGGATTGGGGGACTGGTCAGTTCCAGCGCTAAAAGATTTCCACCTGGCCAGGGAATTTGGACAGTGTTCCTTCCTCATCCTGCTTTGCCAACTGGGGACTTTTGATCTGAATCCAAATAAACTCATCAAATCTCCTTGTTTCAGAGTTTTTGTAGAGATAAACATCCACCCCCATCCCCCCGGAGATCAGTGGGCTTTGTCACCTGGGGACTTTTGATCTGAATTCACCCTGCACTCCCAAAGTTTCCTCCTTCCATCTTGTGGATCTGGGGGCTCTCCGAGAATTTCCAGTGGAGACAGGTCCAGCTGAGGAGAGTGACAGGCTAGCAGCTTCTAGCTCTGTGCACAACTGAGTCCAGAACTACAGGCTGCTGGGGTCCCCCAGGTTGCCCTGCTGTGACAGAATTGACAGAGCAGGACGAGGAAGGAACGCCGTCAATCCTCTGAGCCCTCTACCCCTCAGGGCCTGCAGAGGGCAACACATGGGGTCATTAAAACCAGTCCAGGGCCGGCCCGTGGCTCACTCGGGAGAGTGCGGTGCTGATAACACCAAGGCCCCGGGTTCGGATCCCATATAGGGATGGCCGGTTCGCTCACTGGCTGAGTGTGGTGCTGACAACACCAAGTCAAGGGTTAAGATCCCCTTACCGGTCATCTTTTAAAAAAAAAAAAAAAAAAAACCAGTCCAGAGAATAGTCCAGTTTTCTCCTTCCTCTGATGCTTCACGGTTCCCCTTGGCTTAGAGGCCGTGGTTCTGGTCCTCCCTTGGAGCCTTGGAGTTCTGGTCCTCCCTTGGAGTAAAGTGACATGGTGTGAGACACATTCAGGGGCTTGGTGTGTTCCCTTAATCTACTCTCTTTTCTTTGCCAAGATTAGACTGTACGGATTGTTATGTGTAGCTGCCATGTCCCCTGGGACTTTTTCCCATCCATGCATGCCTTCCTTCCATCTGCTCACCTTCCACCCGCCACCCCCTGCATCCCTTTAACTGGGAACTTTCTCTGGTTGCTGGAGCTCATCCTGCCAGCTGGATGCCCTCGGGAATTAATTCCCCCCATCAACCAATGACTGTTGAACATTTGGTGTATAAGTACCTCAGCTTCCTTCTCCCTTGGTGACATAGTGGACCCTGGGGTGAGCCACCCAGATCCACCTTCAAGAAAGGACATGTCGGGCTGGCCCGGTGGCGCACTGGAGAGTGCCCCGCTTGGGAGCGCAGCGGCACTCCCGCTGAGGGTTCGGATCCCATGTGGAGACCGGTTCCCGCTCACTGGCTGAGCGCGGTGCGGGCGCAACACCGAGGGTTGCGATCCCGTTGCCGGTCCCCGGTACCGGGTGCAACACCGAGGGTTGCGATCCCATTACCAGTCAGTAAAAAAGACAAAAAAGGAAAGAAAAAAAAAAAGAAAGGGCATGTCATCCTAGTGGCTGGGAGTTCTGTGGGAAGGCAGCTGTTACCTGTCGGTCACTTCAGGGATAGACTCAGCTGCTGAGAGCTGCCTCACTCAAAGTCATGTTCCTTCTTGGCACAGCTCACACTGGGACAGGGGGATTAAGGTCTGTTCATGTTGGCACAACACGGGAGACCTCTGAAGGACCATTCTGGTTTCAGAGCTCCCCACGGGGTCAGCCGTGGCTGCCTTCAGACCTGCTCTGCTGGCTTCTCCCTCTGCCCACTCCTGTTTCCTTCCTGTGGCATCATCATCATAAATTATATTTGGTCTTTGTCCTGATTCCCGAGTGATAGATGCATTTGGTTATTTGTAAGGAGCCCCTTTAGCCACACCTGAGTTTATGCTAATACTAAATAGCCTCAGGATGCATTAATCACCAGAAAGACCATATAGGTGGGTAGAGAGTTGGAAATTTCAGCACCAGCCACTGATCTCCAGGGGGACAGGGGTGGATGTTTGTCTCTATAAAAACTCTGAAACAAGGAGATTTGATGAGTTTCTGGTGTGTGAACACACCAAGGTAAGGGGAGTGTAGAGAAATCAGACGACAGGAAAGCTCCACACAACCCTTCCCCCACCTCTTTTTTGCCCTGAGCATTTCTGTACCTTCCCTGTTCACTCTCCTCCTCCTTCACGGGTGCTTCTTGGAATCTTCTCCCAGATAAACTATTTCCATCCAAATCCTTGTCTCAGGCTGTGCTTCTGGGGAAACCCAAGCCAAGCTTAAAATATATTTTCAATTCTACCAGGCATGCTTCCTCTCTATCAAAATGTTCTTGGCTATTCTTAGGTAATTTTTTTAGGTGATTTTTTAAAAATTACTATGGCTTTGAAGGTTTTCATTTACTTTTTCAGTAGTTGTCCATGCACATGGAACCAAAACACATCAATCTACAGTGAAAGTAAAGCTTGCTCTCTCTCCGTTCTCTGATCTCAAGCGGTTACTCTCCCTGCTTGTAAGCTCTTTATTACATTCCAAATAATGAACTTGTCATGCTTGTTTGAAGTTTGTTCCACAATCCTTCAATAGAATTTTAAAAATCTATTTGTGAATAGGCCAAGCACAGAGGATTTTTAGGGCAGTAAAACTTCTCTCTATGATATTGTAATGGTAGATACATGTCATTTTACATTGGTCCGAACCTGTGGAATTTACTACACCAAGAGTGAACTGTAATGTAATCGATGGACTTTGGGTGATAATTATGTGTCAATGTAGGTTCATCCATTGTGACAAATGTACCACTGTGGTGCCGGATGTTTACAGTGGGGGAGGTTGAGTATGGGGTGAAGCGTGGGTAGGACATGTATGGGAACTCTCTCCATCTTCCTCTCCATTTTGCTGTGGATTTAAAACTGGTCTAGGGGCCGGCCCGGTGGCGCATTGCTACAGTGCACCGCTTGGGAGCGCGGCGGCGCTCCCGCTGAGGGTTCAGATCCCACATACAGACCGGTTCCTGCTCAGTGGCTGAGCGAGGTGTGGGTGCAACACCGAGGGTTGCAATTCCGTTGCCAGTCCCGGTCCGGTACGGGCGCGACACTGAGGGTTGCGATCCGTTGCCGGACACGAAAAAAGACAAAAAGGAAAAATAAATAAATAAAACTGGTCTAATAACTAAAGTTTATTTTAAAAATTTATCTGGGGCTGGCCCATTAGCTCAGTTGGTTAGAGTCATGGTGCTGAAAACACCAAGCTCCAGGGTTCAAGCGCTGTACTGGCCAGCCACCAAAAAAAAAAAAAAGAAAGAAAGAAAGAAGTCTATCTGGTCTTCCTTACAGAATGATTCCAATTAATAAATGCAAAAGGAACTGAGGCAATGGGAAATTACCATTAATTGCTACAGGCAAGATCCAAAGACAAATGCTCTAATTAGTGTGAGACTTTTAGAAAAAACAGCATGTTTGCATAACCTCAGAGTATCTCCCCCCCCCATTGTCTAATATTTATGAATCACCATGGTGATTTTAACATATGTTCACACATGTTTTTATATTCCTCTGAGTGGGGCTGGACACAGTGGATCACTTCCTAGGAATAAAGCAATACCAAGGAGCCTTTATAAACATTGCACCTACTTGTTCTCCCCAATTAAATCTTAGAGAATATGTGGGGTTTTGTTTATTTGTTTTTTAATTAGGGCTAAGCTTTGGAGGGCAACGAGGCATTGTGATAGCTGAGTTTTTTTTTTTTTTTTTTCTTGTCTCGCAAAGAATCAGTTTTTGCCCCTTTGGGAGCAATATCAGCCCTGTTGGGGATGCTTAGAAGGGAGTATGGGAAGGGAAAAAATAGTGACTCTATAGTGCAAAGTTAATATTGCCGATGATAGCCATGGTCATGTGGATATTGTAGACACTCCCCCCACCAACCCCCAAACAATATGATTTGAAGGGCTCTGTAGTGGATTGAATTATGAATCCTGTTATGGTAACTGAAAGCTGGGGCCCTAAAGAGGGGATTAGATTGTAGGACTATGCCATGGTGAATGGATTAAAACTGGTGGTTGTGGGTGTGGCTTGTAGGGCCATGTCGAAATGTGATGCCCTGAATCACTGTAGTCACCACCAGGACCAGAGGTGTTGCCTGGACTCTGGGCTTCCCAGCCTCCAAAACCGTAAGCAGTAAATATCATTTTCTTTACAAATAACCCAGTTCCAAGTGTTTTGTTATAAGTAACAGCAACAGACTAATACAGCATCTCACCTTTGTGATATTCTTCTCCCCCAGACCATACCTCAATATAATTATGAGAAAACACTAAAAAAAAAAAAAAAATCAGACCTTTCAATGCAATGCCTGATTAATACTCTTTAAAACTGTCAACCTTATGAAAGACACGGAAAGACCAGGAACCCGTCCTAGTGTGGAGGAGACTAAGGAGCATGATGACTGTTATGGGCTGAATTGTGTCCCCTCCATGCCCCCCAATTTTATACGTTGAAGTCCTACCCCCAGTACTTCAGAATGTGACTGTATTTTGAAGAAGGGCCTTTACAGAGCTGATTAAATTAAAATAAGGTCATTAGTGTGGATTCTAATTCAGTGTGACTGGTGTCCTTATAAAAAGGGGAAATGTGGACATGCACACACACATGAGAAAGACACAGCGGGAAAACAGCTGTCTATGAGCCAAGAAGGGAGGGCTCAGAAGAAGCCCGTCCTGCCAACAGCTTGATCTTGGACTTCCAGCCTCTGGAACAGTGAGAAAGTAAATTTGTGTTGTTTAAGCCACTGAGTCTGTGACACTTTGATACAGCAGCCCTAGCAAATTCAAATGTATGAATTGGTAATGCAATGTGGAGTCCTGGATGAGATCGTGTCACGAAAAAGGAACACTAGGAGAAAAACTGGTAACATCTGAATGAATACTGTACTTTAGTTAATAGTTTTGACAAGTGTGTCATGGTAATGAAAGACCTTGGCATTAAAGGAGACCAAGTAAAGAGAATTTTCTATCTTTGCAACTCATCTGTAAATCTAAAACTATTTCAAAATAAAAAGTATGAAAAGATTCAAGAAAACCTTTTTAAAATTGCACTTATATGGTATACCCACAGAACTTCATAGAGACTGGAAGTAGAATGGTGGGTTCCAGCCAGGGGCTGGGGAGAGGGAAAAATGGAGATTTGGTGTTCAATAAGGACAGAGGTTCAGTTTGAAAGATGAAAAATTCTGGAGACGGATAGTGGTGATGATTGTATAAAAATATAAACGTACTTAATGCCACTAAATTGTACGCTTTAAAATGGTTAAGATAGTAAACTTTATGTTATGTATGTTTTACCACAATTTTAAAAACTCTATTAAAAATCAACTTGGAACTTTTATTGGGATGATACTTGTTTTAATTTATGATCTTTAAGTTGGAGACCTCCACTTCAGTGACCAGGAGAGACAGAAGATGGAAATAAAGATTTTATTACTTACAGGTCTGGAAGATACACAGACCACCCACACTACAGATTGAAGGTCTGCAACCAATCTCATAAGTAGGACCACCCTTCCCCTCTCACTTCCCCTGTGGTGAGCTCTAGGGACAGCACAAGGGATCGGCAGCACTCTGACTTCCTCTCTAAGCTGGACAGGTGTGCCCTGGTTCCCCAAGGCCACCTCGGCCACAGGTGCATCCAACAGAGACCCACTTTCCTGTCCCTTTGCCTTTGTCTTGGCTGTGCCCTGTGCCGGACATGCCCCTTCCTTTTTCTGTCAACAGCTCACATGTCCTTGAAGGCACCGTTCCAATGCTGTCTCTTCCAGAAAACCTGACCTGAGCCCCCATACAATTAATGCTCCCTCCTCCATAAGGACTGATGAATCAATTTCATCTAATTCCTTTCCCAAGAATATATCCTGATGGCTGCTGAGGACAGAGATTGCTCAAGGCTGTGGTTTCATCATTTCCTCTCCCTGAGCACCTCGAAAGACGCAAAAGGAGGACGTGCCCCACCAAAAAGCTCTGTGCCACAGCGAAGTCCTGCTGCTAAGGCAGATGTCAGCGCCTGTTGACGCGGGCTCCATTTCTGATGACAAAGGCAAGATGAGTCTTACATCTCAGAAAAAGGGGACATCTGGAAGGAAGAGCACGGCCCTCCCATTCTTTGGAAAATGGCCTTTCTCAGCCTTTCCTTGTTCTCTAACTATTGCTGACCTTTAACGTGTCACCCTCTTCCTCTTCACCATGGACATTCACTTTTTAAAATATAGTACATTAGGGTTCTCACCCTTGGCAATATCAACATTGGGGGCAGCATATTCTTTGCTGTTGGTGGCCACCCTGCACATTGTAGAGTTTTGAACAGCATCCCTGTCCTCTACCCCCTACATGTCAGAACACACACACACACACACACCACACACACCCCTCAAGTTGTAATAACCAATATCTCTAGCACTGCCAAATGTCCCCTAGAGTGCATAATTGGCCATGGTTGAAGCACTATTCCATACAACTCACTTTTAAAATTACGTTTATTACGTTTAGCATGGGGTCTGTCCCCTCTGTTTCCCACTGGAATGTCAGAACCAAAGAGGAAGGGATTTGCTTATTTTGTTCACTGATGAAGCCCCAGATCCCAGATCAGCGTCTGGCATATGGTAAGTGTTCGACACTTGTTGAAAGGATGCATGAACATTAGTGTTCCACGTGCCTGAGATGCTGCTAGGTTTGACATGCATAACCTCACTTCTTTATCACAGCGTCCCTGTGAGGGAGCCCCTGCCACTGTCCCCCTTTTCAAGGAGGAGAAGCTGAGGTTTCTAGAAGCTACACACTACATAGACCCTCAACCTCCCACCCACCCAGTAGTACAGTCCAGCAGCTTAGCTGAGCACCACCCTGCAAACATCTCTTCCTGCATTCTGCCGCAGAGGGACTAAATTAAGGTCAGGGTCAGACCCAGCCTCTGGCAGGCACCTGCAGGGGACTTGAGGAGGGAAGATGAACCGTCCTGGCGGCCACGCCTGAGGGGGCTTTCTCAGGAAACAGCAGGGCTCAGAACTTGACCAGATTCAGCACGTCCATATCAGGAGGAGGCCCAGCCCCAGGCCTACAGGAGATGGGGACCAAGCTGCAGAGAGACGTCCCCAGTGCCAGGCTGGGCATGTGGCTGCAGCTGCAGGACAGGGAGGCTGGCACTTCCTCACCCCACCCGCAGCCCAGCCCAGAAATGGCCCAGCCCTGTGACTGGTCAGTGGGTTCCTTTTACCAGGAATTGAGTCAAAGAATAGGGGAAGGAAAGAAGGGAGAATGGGTGGGGTCAGGGTGAAGTGGGTGCTAAATTTATATCCCTGCCCAGGGCTGAGAACCTGCACCACCATGGACACCACAGGGTACAGAAAGTGGAGCAGCGGGTCCCTGGAGGTCCCCAAAGGTATGGGCGATAGGACTGCCTCATTGGTCCCTTGCATCTTGCTGCCCAATTGTCTGGTGTTTAGTGAGAGAGGGGAGGATCCTCCAGAACTCTCTGGTGTTTGAAAGGGGAGGGAGGGGAGGGGTAAAGTGGGATCCAGGTAGTGGTGGCAGGACAGACACCAAAGGACACAGAGCCAGCTGGACCAGGATCCAAATTCCACCTCTGCCACGTAGGGGCTGTGTGACTGTGGACAGGTTACTTAACGTCTCTGAAACTCCGTTTTCTGGGAGGAACCCAAGCATCCCGGGCTCAATCCTGGGGTATCCAGCAGTCCCTCCGTGTTCTCCCAGGGCGCTGCGGAGGCTGGGAGCACTGCAGGCAGAGACCCCTTCTCCTGGCCCTGGCTGTCCTGGTCACCACAGTCCTGTGGGCTCTCATTCTGAGCATCCTATTGTCTAGAGGTGAGTGACCCCTTAATGGGGAGAGGTTGTGTGTGGCCCTCCTGGGGACACAAACCTCCTCCCTTCAGGGCGCACCAGTCTGAGTGTGAGCACGTGTGAACAGAGTGCGTGTACATCTCCGGGCTGTGTGCACGCACACGTGTGTACACGTGAGGGCGTGTGTGGGTGTGCACGTCTCTGTGTGTCTCTTTCATCGGTGTGTGCGCATTGCCTGCGCTGTACGCCTGCCTGCCCCTCTGTGGGTCCCAAGACGGGGGACCCCGCAGCCCCTAAGCCAGGGGAGGGTTCCGGAGTCCCCGGCGGCGCCTGCAGCAGCCTCTCTCCGCAGCCTCCACGGAGCGCGGGGCGCTTCTCGGCAGCCAGGACCAGCTGAGGACAAACGGTGCGTGCCGCGCGGTGGCACCTGGGCCCCCGGGGTGTGCGGGGCGGGAGTGCCTGGGACCCGGGAGACAGGGTAGTGGGGAGGTGGGGACCCCACGTTCCCCGGGGCTGGCCGCATAGTGGGGAAGGGTGTTACCTGAGTCCCCCAATCACGTAGAGGAGCAATGTCTCCTGAATCCCCCAGGTGACCGGGCGTGCGCGCGGGGGTATCTTTCCAGTCTCGAAGCAGACGGCGGTGATCGGTACCTTGGAGGAGGACACCAGGGCCTGCAATAGCTGCTGTGAGAGGGGT